TCATGAGGGCTTTCTAATCTGTATATGGTGCTGGACAGTTGGCCACTCCTCGGGGGGCGGAGGGGGGGAGTCAAACTGGCTACTGACCTCATACCATACCCAGAAATCTGCTGAAACCTACCTACCATAGGTGATCCTGCTGATATTTGAAATTTCAGTGAAATAATGTCTAGCTTCACAGCAATGTGCAACCACCACAGTGTGACCAATGGACAGAGGGGTGGTGGAGCCACCCAAAGTGGGAAAGGGAAGGAACTGAGCCTCCAGGACTACACCCCTGTCTCAACAATTTCTCAATTTCTTGAGAAATCTTTTGGCTAATCATTAACATCAAAACCCAATATTAACCAATTCAAAATGGATCAAGGGCTGGAATGTGAAAAACAAAACCACAGAACCCTTAGAAGAAAATGTAGCAGCAAGGCCATGGGACCTCGTGTTTAATGATATGTTATCAGATATGACTAACAAAAGCCCAAGCAGAAAAAGATAAAATAGACAGATGGGATCTCAGAAAGGTGAAATGTTTTTGGTACGTCAAAGGGCTTTATCAACAACTTGAAGAGCCAATCTACAGAGTAGGAGAAGTGGGTGAAAGCCCTTCAACCTTGGGCTTCAGCTCTGCCTCCTGCTCCCAGCCCACTGAAGCTGGAGGTTTTTCTTAACTCAGACAGCTGCTGGCTGATGAGGCTGACAAGCCCAAGGTTGACAAGTGAAAAGGCACAATCCCAATGTTACCAAACAACATTGCAGGCCACTAATTCAAGTCCAGATGAAGTCTCGAGATCGGCAGTGCATGGCAGGCTGCTGAACAATGACCTGGCTGCAGGGTTCAAGCGTACCATAAGGCTATAGATCTTCCTTAAACCTGCTGCGTATCTACTAGAAGCAGCCCATCCCTAAAGCAGCTACTCAGCTGCTCACAGTAGATTCCACCATGGAGCTGATGGCCAGTCTCCCCGTGGGCAGTAACTACCTCCAGCTGCCCAGCCACTCAACCAGGCCCAGCCAAGTTGACACCAACCTTAACTACCACAACTCATATGTCACATAAGGGCCTAATTCCCAAAATATTATATAAAATTATCATAACAACAAAAATACATACCACCCAATCAAAACATGGGGAGAGGACTTGAATAGACTGTTCACCAAAAACAACATCCAGATGGCCAGTAAGCCCATAAGGCGATGCTCAACATCATTACCATTGTTGGAGTTGTGCACCATCAAGTCAATTCCAACTCATAATAACCCTGTAGGACAGAGTACAAGTGCACCATAGGGTTTCCAAAGTTGTGATCTGCCACATCTTTTTCCTGAAGAGTTGCTGGTGGGTTCAAACCACTGATCGTTCACCCAAGGACTTAACCACCATACCACCAGGGCTCCTTCATTAGTCATTACCAAATCCACTGCTGTTGAGTCAATCCAAACTCACAGTGACCCTATAATCATTGTTGTTACTGTTGTTAGCTGCTGTCGAGTCATCTCCGACTCATAATGACCCCATGTACAATAGAACTGAACACTGCCCAGCCCTGACCATCCTCACAACCCTTTCCATACTTGAGCCCATTGTCCCAGCCACTGGGTTGATCCATTTTGTTGAGGGTTTCCCCTTTTCTGATGACCCTCCAGTTTACCAAACATGATATCCTTCTCCAGGGAATGGTCCCTTCTGACAACATGACTAAAGTAGGTGAGACAAAGTCTAGCCATTCTTACTTGTAAGAAGCATCCTGGCTGCACTTCCTCCAGGATAGATTTGTTAGTTCTTCTGGCAGTCCATGGTACTTTCTTCACTAACACCATAATTCAAATTTCTTCCTTATTCATTGTCCAGCCTTCACATGCATATGAGGCAATTGAGAATATCACTGCTTGGGTTAGACACATCTTAGTCTTCAAAGTGACTCTTTGCTCCATAACACTTTAAAGAGGTATTTGTGGCAGATTTTCCCAGTGCAATATGACATCCAGTGTCTTGACTGCTGCTTCCATGGGTATTGCTTGTGGATCCAAATAAAATTAAATCTTTGACAACTTCTATCTTTTCTCCACATAACATGATGTTGCTTATCGGTCAGGTTATGAGGATTTTTAGTTTCTTTATGTTGAGGTGTAATCTCATAACTATTGTTGTTGTTGTTGTTGTTGTTATGTGCCGTCGAGTCGGCCCCAACTCATAGCGACCCCTCCTTGGGTTTCCAAGGTAGTATCACTACGGAAGTAGGATTGCCCAACCTTCCTTCTGAGGAGTGGCTGGTGGGTTTGAACCGCCAGCCGTCTGGTTAGCAGGCAAGTGATTTAGCCACTATGCTACCAGAGCTCCCGATAACTATTAGGGAGATGCAAATCAAAACCACAATAAGATATCTCCTCACTCCCATTAGGATGTCAATGATCACAAAATGGGAGAACATGTATTGGTAAAGTTGTGGAAAAACCGGAACACTCATCCATTGCTGGTGGCAATGTAAAATGTGGGGAACAGTGTGGTGGTTCCTCCAAAAGTTGAACCCAGAATTACCATATGACCTAACAATCTGAGTCCTAGGTATGCACCTGGAAGAAGTGGAGGCATGCACGCTAGCAGGAATCTGTACACCAGTGTTCACTGCAGCACTTCCCACAGCAGCCGAAATGTGGAAACCACCTCGATGTCCATCAGCCGATGAACGACGAACACACACAACGGAATATTGTTGTTGTTAGGTACAGTCAACACAGCAACTCTATGCACAACAGAATGAAACACTGCTCAGGCATGCACAATCCTCATAATCTTTGCTACGCTTGAACCCATTGTTGCAGCCACTGTGTCAATCCATCGCATTGAGGGTCTTCCCCTTTTTTGCTCACCTTCTACCAAGCATGATGTCCTTCTCCAGGGACTAGTCCCTCCTGATAACACGACCAAAGTACGAGAGACGAAGTCTAGCCATTCTCATTTGTAAGCAGCATTCTGAATATACTTCTAAGACAGATTTGTTCATTCTTCTGGCAGTCTATGGTGTATTCAATATTCTTTGCCAACACCACAACTCAAATGCATCTCAGCCATAAAGAAATGAAGTCCTGATGCATCCTACAATACAGATGAACCTTGATAACATGCTGAGCAAAATCGGTTAGTCACAAAAGGACAAATACTGTGTGTTTTCACTCATAGGAAACAATATATAGAAACCAAAGACTATTAATGGTTATCAGGGGTGGGAGGGAGGGTACAGGACAGAGTTTTCATTTGGGGGGCTTTGAGCTGATGTTGATGGTGGCGGGATGATTTGGAAAAGCATGGCCATAACGGTGGTACAACAGGAAAACTGTGGTCAACGTCACTGAGTTGTAAATGTGGAAATTGCTGTGCTGGCAGATGTTTTGATGTGTGTATTTTTACGACAGTAAAAAAAAATTGCTCAATCAATAAAGAAGTAATAGTTGAGAAAACAAACTCAATTATGCTTTACATACCAGCACTTAGAACCAAAGTGGGGGAGAGGTCGGTGCCTGCAATGATGCTGCTGATAATGTTGATGGACTTAAAAATACGATACACCATCTATGTATGTTTTAAGATTTGTACAAAATAGGAGCTCTGGTAGCATGGTGCCTAAGGCACTTGACTGCTTACCAGAAGGCTGGCGGTCCACTTTCACTCCTCAGAAGGAAGGTTGGGCAATCTACTTCCTCAGTGACAACAACAAGGAGCAAAGTGGATAGAAAGAAAAACTATCCCTTGTCAGTATAACAAGGAATTTCACTCATGTTGGGCAGATTCTGACAAATGGAGAACCTGGGGTTCAGGAAGGTCAAGGAGGTGCCAAATGTGCAGCGTGTAGAGAGTGCCCCCTGGTGGTGGGTTCTATGCATAGCTGCCAAAATAAAGCAGCTGTTCCGAAGTCTAGGGAGAGCTCTCCTGACATTGAGTGAGGTATTTAGCAGCTAACCAGAAGATCCTCAGTTCAAACCCACTAGCTACTCTGCAGAAGGAAGATGAAGCAATCTACTCCCATAAGGATTTGCAGGCTTGGAGACCCAGTAGGGGTTGCTATGAGTCAGAATCGACTAGAGGGCAGTGGGTTTGGAGTTGGCAGACAACTCAAGGGAGCCACAGAAACAGTGTTCAGACATTATCTCAACTGTCATACATTTGCAAGTGGTTATTCTAAAGCTCGATTGAAATTCATCTCTGTGGAAACACATCCATGCATACCTCAAGGCATAGCTGTCATTCACTTGTGCGCACCTCCCTGGCTGGTAATTTCCATCATCAACAGTGAAAATGAATTAATTCTAGCTACATCCACAGTGTGGATGAACCTCAAGAGCACAATTCCGATTTCAATAACAAGTTGCTTGAAGGAAATGCAAAATGGTACAAGTACTCTGGAAATTTGTGTGACAACTTCTACAAATTAAACATATACTTACCTTACAGCCCAGCAACCCAACTGCTGGGCACTTGTCCCAGAGAAATGACAACTTGCATCTACACAAAAACCAGTACACGAATGTTTATAGTACCTTTATGTTAATAGTCAAGCTATTTTTAGATTCATGACAACATGAGTATTATGTGTAAAAAATTATCAGATACAACAAAAACCATATTTAAAGAAAAATGATGCCCGTAGCTTTGTGTGTGTGTGTGTGTGTGTATGTGTGAGTGATTTGGGTGAAGATTTACGGAGCAAATTCCCTTTCCATACAGCAGTTCACACATACTTTGTCTCATGTCATTGACCACAGTTTACCACAATGCAACAGCTCCCCTCCCACTTCCTCCCCATAGTTACCTCTTCCCAGTGTCCATCCCTCCATACACTCCTGCCCTCTGAACTGTCTCCCTGTGCATAAGAAGCCCTTCTTTCTCCCATGATTGTTCTCTCCAAAGAGTGTATCTACTTGAGGTAAATGTTCAACTCATATGCCTGTATTTTGTTTGATGCCCGTAGCTTTTAAAGCTCTTATAATTAAGTGAGATGTTAGTGAGCATGGAGCCGCCCCAGGGGCAGATCGCAGTAAGCCAGCCCTGGGACCAGCAAAAGGCAGGTGTTTGTGCCCCAGCAGCAGGCCAGATAAGCGAGCAGGCTGGGTAAGTGAGCAGGGCAGGGAGACCAGGAAATGAGCGGAACAGTTTGGAACAGCTGCAGTCTGTCAGTTTGTCATACTGTGGTGGCTTAAGTGTTGAGGGTGGAGGCTATGCCACCAGTATTTCAAATGCCAGCAGGGTTAGTCATGGTGGACAGGTTTCAGCAGAGCCTCCAGACTAAGATAGACTGGGAAGAAGGAAGAGGCCATACACTCCTCAAAGAATTGGCCAATGAAAACCTTATGAACAGCAGTGAAACACTGTCTGATATATTCCCGGAAACTTTATGAATAGTCCTGAAACATTATCCAATATAGTGCCAGAAGATGAGCCCCTCAGGTCGGAAGGCACTCAAACTACAACTGGACAAAAGTTGCCTCTCAGAGTAGACCTGACCTTAATGATGTGGATGGAGTAAAGCTTTTGGGACCCCCATTTGTTGATGTGGCATGTCTCAAGATGAGAAGAAACAGCTGCAAACATCCATTAATAATCAGAACATGCAATATACAAAGTATGAATCTAAGAAAATTACAAGTTGTCAAAAATGAAATGGAATGCATAAAGATCAATATCCAAGGCATTAGTGAGTTGAAATGGACTGATTTTGCCCATTTTGAATCAGATGATCATATGATCTACTATGCTGGGAATGACAAATTGAAGAATAGCCTGGCATTCATCATCACAAAGAATGTGTCAAGATCTATCCTGAAGTACAATGATTGGTGATAGGATAACATCCACATGCCTACAAAGAAGTCCAGTTAATACTACTATTATTCAAATTTACACCCCAACCACCAATGCCAAAGATGAGAAAACTGAAGATTTTTACCAGCGTCTGCAATTTGAAGTTGACCAAACATGCAATCAAGATGTGTTACTTATCACTGGTGATTGGAATGCAAAAGTTGGAAATGAAGAATCGCCAGTAGTTGAAAAATATGGCCTTGGTGACAGAAATGATGCTAGAGATCACATGATAGAATTCTTCAAGACCAATTACTTATTCATTGCAAATACCTTTTTCAACAACACAAACAATGGCCATACGCATGGATGGCCAGATGGAATATGCAGGAATCAGATTGAATACATCTATGGCAAAAGGTGATGGTGAAGCTCAGTATCTTCAGCCAAAAGAAAGCCAGGAGTTGACCGTGGAACAGACCATCAACTGCTCATACGCAAAAGCTAAAGACAATTAAAAGAAGTCCACAAGAGCCAAAATATGACCTTGATTATATGCCTTCTGAATTTAGAGACCATCTAAAGAATAGATTTGATGCATTGAACATCAAACATAAAGAAGATGGATGGAATACAGAGTTACTATACCAAAGAGAATTGGTAGATGATCATCCATTTCAGGAGGTGGCATATGATCAA